TCTGCAGGACACCGGCCCTCCAGGACCCAGTTTGGACAGCCCTGCGTTACACGGACCATTCTCAACTATGTTATAAAAGATATATCAAAATTATTTGATATATCATTTTACTTCATGCAATATGTGTGTCAAATTTCCATAAACTGGTTTTCCCATTAAACACAATGTTATCTAGACACTGCACCTAATTTGCATATTAATGTGCTGCTGGGCTAGCATGTTGAAAAAAGAAGTGTAATAATGGGAGTAATAATTGGATTGATTTTCATAATATTTCATAAGAATATTGATATATAATTAATTTTCCTATTCATTTGTTGCGTCTCCCAGAATGTGTAATAAACACACGTTTAGTCCGAGCAGAGGGAGTGGTCACGGTGAAACCTCCAAACATTTGGTCTCTCTGAAAAGCCCTGAATGTGCTCTTACAGGACATCCAGACTTACAGCTGTGACAAGGTCTCTAAAATATAATGTCCACTACAGAGACAAAAACCCCATAGCTGGGTCTCAGGAGGATACCAATCATTAACGCAGAATACAGTTTCGTGAGCATTTAAAGACATTAAATTGTGTACATGTACCTACCATTGACAGATCTGACAAACACACAGTACAAACACACACGAACACATCTGCGAGTGTAATTCCGCCCGCTGACACGCGGTGGCAGTAAAGCATGCTCTGAAGCCTTCAGAGATCAGCAGCACAGTAAAGAAAACAGCTTTACACAACATCTGGCTGTTAAAAAGATGAAAATAAATATTCTCTTAAACAGTCCGAATCCCAAACAGCCCTGATTACCCACTGCTCGAGCTCTGGCAGCTGAAAGACTACAGCGACACAGTGTGACTTCAGTGCAATGCAGGAGATTTACATGATCCTGTCGGAGCTCGACAGCTCTGTCGTGTTCTGCACACGCTTTCAGTCTCGCTGATCTAAACATTTCTGAAACATTTAACTGCAAGACGACGCCAAACCGAACTCCATTAGGCCCCGGTCAGACAGAACGTGTTTTTTTTTGCAGTGAGAGGCGCCTTTTTTAAGTTGTTTTGTATTGGGTTCTCTTTGCTTCTTCTTGCACTTGAATGGACACATAAACTAGTGCTGCTCAATTATGGCAAAAATCATAATGAGGATTATTTTGGTCAATATTGCAATCAGGATTATTTAAAGGGGTCATATGATGCTTTTTTTAAAGATCATTATT